ACTTCAGACATGTCACATGAGAACGGCAGGCCAATTGCTGGAAGCCGGTCCGTCCTTGCTGCTTGACACAGTCGCTGCAGGGAAGAAACATCTGCACAGTCTATGTTTCAATGACCTGGCGTACATGGCATCCTGTTCTTAATATGTTTGCTCCCCGTCTTAGCGCTATGTGTTTTAACCAAGGCCACCTCTCCGAGAAAGGTTGTCTCCCCAGGTGGGGATCTTTCCCTGAAGTTAGGGAGGGAATAAAACCCCTTAACTAAGTCCCAGGCGGGTAGTTAATCACTTTAACTACGAACAATCACGCTTAAGCTACATAATCTTTACTCCCTGGAATGGAGATAAGAAACGCCCTAACCTTTGGAATAGAAATGGACAGGATTAAAATCAACTGGTATAAATACAGATGTAACAAGACAATAAAACACAGAACCTGGCTGGAGATCCTGGCTAGAACCTGGCTAGGCTGCTGATCAACTGAACACTCTCTCCATGTCCCTCATTCTTTGCCGACTCCGTGCACACCTTTGGGGACCCCTGGACCTGCTGGGGTCAGACCCCAACAGGCTAATGGCTCTCCAGGACGCAAATCTGACCCTCCAGAAAATAATATCCTTGTGGGGAAAACGGCCCGGAGAGCAAACGCAGGGCCCGGGAGAGGCGATCCCGGCTTCCCAGCCCCTGTCCCCCGCGTCCGCATCCCTGTCGCCTGGAAAGGGAATCCTCCAATCCCCCCGTTTGTCCAGGACAATTCCCACCTTTCAAATCACGGCGTTCACTCCCTCCCACCCAACCCCCGGCTGAAAAGAAGATATGGTTACCTGCGTGCAGGTGAGATCCCAATGGCTGCGTTAGTGGCAGTCAGCACTGAAAGGTAATGTAGGCACACAGGTGGGAGTGGTTCTTGGAGGATCCCTCACAGCCTCAGGTGAATTTTTTTAAACAGAATTTGCTTATATTATAATGGGTGGGGCCCTGGCCGGTGTGGCTCGGTGGATGGAGCGTCGGCCTGCGGACTGAGGGTCCCGGGTTCGATTCCCATTCAGGGCACATGCCTGGGTTGCGGGCTCAGTCCCCAGTAGGGGGTGTGCAGGAGGCAGCTGATCCATGATTCTCGTCACTGATGTTTCTATCTCTCTCTCTCCATCTCCCTTCCTCTCTAAAATCAATAAAATATATATATATATATATATATATATAAAATATAATGGATGAGGAAGGCAGTATTCCATGTCCTATATAATGAAAGTGTAATATGCAAATTGTCCCCTCGACCTGGAGTTTGACCAGGAGTTCGACCAGGGGGCGGGGCAGGCGGGGGGATGGGAGGGAGGCCCCGGCTGGCGGCCGGCAGCCCTAGGGACCCTAGCAGAGCAGGGATTTCGTGTGCTGGGGCCTCTAGTATCAGATACATGACAAGAGCAAACCAACTAGACTTACAAAGAGACTTCAAAAACCTGGTTGTCTCCATCCCTTTTGGCTGAGTGCCCAGGTACACAATTCCTGCTTTTGGGGTGTTTTTATTTTCTAAATATATTTTTATTGATTTCAGAGAGGAAGGGAGAGGGAGGGAGAAACATCCATGATGAGAGAGAATCACGGATCGGCTGCCTCCTGCACGCCCCCCACTGGGGATCGAGCCCGCAACCCGGACCTGTGCCCTGATGTGCGATGGACCCTCCACCTCCTGGTGCACGGGATGATGCTCAACCCACTGAGCCACACTGGCCAGGCAGGGAGACTCTGGATAAGGAGCTTATATTCACCCGGCGGGCGTGGCTCGGTGGTTGAGCGTCGACCTAGGAACCAGGAGGTCAGGGTTCGATTCCCCGTCAGGGCACAGGCCCGGGCTGCAGGCTCGATGCCCAGTAGCGGGCGTGCAGGAGGCGGCCGGTCCATGATTCCCTCTCATCACTGATGTTTCTCTCTCTCCCTCTCCCTTCCTCTCTGAGATCGGTGAAAAGTCTACGTTTTTTAAATGGCTCGTCTGCATAAGGGGCGGCCTGACTGAGCCCCCCTTCGCTGGCTTTTGATTAATATTCCGATGAGTCCCATCGGTGGCTCACGCAAAGGATTTAATTGTGCAAGAGGTGAGCCTGCAAATGAGGGAGGGAGAGAGAGAGAGAGAGAGGGAGAGAGGAGCTATAAATAGCAGACCTTAATGTTAGTCATCAATAAAAAACACACAATGGATCCTAAAAGAGTCTGGCTTTTTGCGTGTGTTCACATCTCTACAGAGAAGACTTCCTCCCAGACCCCTGCTCCCCCCACCCCGTCCCCGCCCCCAGCCGTGAAAACAGGGCAAATACCGTCTGTTGTGAAATCCAAGATGTGAGGACACTTTCTCTGGAAAGGGAGCTAGGGGAGGGGAGGGGAGGGGAGGGGAGGTTGGGAGGGGAGGGGAGGGGGTGATGCAATTGGGGCGAGAGAGAGCCGCCCTGGACAGTGAAGGAGAGGACGGAGGGCCCTGGTCTCCATGGGTGAATCTTGGGGTCCTGGCGGGTTCCTGGTGAGACAGGGAGGCACAGCGTTTACCTCTAACACAGGTCACCCCAGGCCCTGCCTGCCTCACGCTCTCGGCCTGCCTCTGTCCCCGTCCTCCCTGTGACCCAAATAGCCGGCAGTGGCAGGAGGGGGGCGTGGAGGAGAATCAGACACAAAAGCCCCACGTCCTGGTGAAGGGGTATGTCTGTGTACGATTTAAAATAGACATTTTTATTGATTTCGGAGAGGAAGGGAGAGGGAGAGAGAGAGGAACGTCCATCTGCTGCCTCTCGCACGCCCCCGGCCGGGGATCAAGCCCCAAACCCCAGGCTCGTGGCCTGACCGGGAATCGAATGGGCGACCTTGTGTCATGGGGTGGTGCTCCACTCACCTGGGCCGCAGGGGCCAGGCTTGCAGGGCTTGAACCCAGTCGGGGGCGAGCAGGAGGCAGCCGATGGATGATTCTCTCTCATCACGGGTGTGTCTAACTCTCCCTCGCCCTTCCTCTCTCTCTAAAAAAAGAAAAAGTACACACACACACACACACACACACACACACACACACACTAGAGGCCCGGTGCACGGATTCATGCACCGGTGGGGTCCCTCGGCCGGGCCTGCGCCCTCTCGCAATCCGGGACCCCTCGGGGGATGTTGGAGAGCTGTTTTCAGCCCGATCCCTGCAGTCTGGGCTGAGGGACCCCATTGGTGCATGAATCCGTGCACCGGGCCTCTAGGATGCATATAAGATCTTTGGTTAATCTCTTCTCGCCCTCCCCTCCCCCTTCCCTCTGAGATTCATCCGTCTGTTCCATGTTTCCATGCCTGTGCATTGAGCGTCTGCCCCCTGGTGGTCAGTGCGCGTCATAGCAGCCGGTTGAACAGTTGAATGGTCGCTTAGACTTTTATATATATATTTATATATATGTGTGTGTATATATGTATGTATATATACTGTATATATATTTATATATGTATATATACTGTATGTATATATATATATACACACACACACACATATACATATATATACACACATATATACTTGAAAATTTTCTGAAGAAGTGTTAGCACATTTCCATGGGCGTGTGGACCAAGACAGGAACGAGGGGGAACCTTCTAGAAACGTTCCATGCCCTTGGGGGTGGGGGTGGGGGTGAGAGAGCAACCAAAGAACTCGCATGCACGCATACAGGCATAACCCATGGACACAGGCAGTGGGGGGGTGAGGGCATGTGCTGGGGGTGGGAACGGCCGGGGAGAGGTCGGTGAGGAGAAAAGGAGACATATGTCATACTTTAAACAATAACGAATTTAAATAAAAAAAATAAATAAAAAAGAAACGTTCCATGCCCCCCCCCCATTGTTTTTCAATTTCAGAAAGAGGAAGGGAGAGGGAGAGAGAGAGAAACGTCAATAATGAGAGAGAATCACCGATCGATTGGCTGCCTCTTGCACGCCCCCTACTGGGGATCCGTTTTGCACCCTCAGCCACGTGCCCTGACCGGGAATTGGACAGTGACCTCCTGGTTGGTGGGTCAACCTCAACCACCGAGCCGCACGGCCGGGCACAGCCTCCCTGGCCTGGATGGGGCGCTGGGTCTGCACAGGTGACACACGCACCCGGCCTGTGCCCTCCCCGAAGGGACGTCGTGCCCCAGCGTTTAAGGCCCAAAGTCCCGCCCACCAGAGGCCGGCGTAGGAGACGCTGCAGAGGAGTCACTAAAAGCCGACTCGGGGGCCCCAGCCGGTGTGGCCCAGTGGATAGAGCGTCGCCGGTGGACAGAAGGGTCCCGCGTTCGATTCCGGTTGAGGGCATGTACCTCGGTTGCGGGCACCTCCCCAGTGGGGGGTGTGCAGGAGGCAGCTGATTGATGTTTCTGTCTCTCCTTCCCTCTCCCCTCCTCTCTGAAATCGATAAAAAATATATTTTAAACATAAAATGAAAAATAAAATCTTAGTTTAAAACAACAAAACAGTCCTTTGCCTCCCAGAAGCTCAAACAATGGACATCCGATTTCTCCCTGGATTTGGGGGGCGGGGGCCTGAACGTCCATGGGCCAATGTGTCTATTTTTGTGTGTTGGTGGGTTTCGGGGCTCCGTGCCTCCTTCGCCGGCTCTGAAATCCAGTGGCAGCTGGATTCCCAAGTGGACGAGACTTCTGTGTCTGTACAGCTCCGTGGGGAAGTGATTTTTGGTTATTTTTAAAATATTAGATAATTTTTTAAATAAAGAACGCTTCACATATTTTATTTTACTTTTTAAATATAATTGTATTGATTTCAGAGAGGAAGGGAGAGGGAGGGAGGGAGAGAAACATCCATGAGGAGAGAGAATCACGGATCGGCTGCCTCCTGCACGCCCCCTGCTGGGGATGAGCCTGCAACCCGGGCCTGTGCCCTTGACCGGAATCGAACCCGGGACCTCCTGGTTCGTAGGTTGATGCTCTGCAACTCAGCTGCACTGAGCGCGCTCACAGCGTTGCCCCACCTTCCTCTCTGCCTGGGTCCGAAACATGGTCATCATTCCTGGGGGGAACCACGACCGCTTGACATGGTCAGGCCTCGTCCATCCCACCTCGTTCCATCCCCGCCTCGCTCCAGCCCCAGGCAACCGCGACGCGGCTTTCCACTGCTAAGGATGCCCTATTCTGGACATTCCCCGTGAATGAATCATGTGACCCGGGACCTTCCGTCTCTGGCTTCTCTCACTCAGCGCTTTCCCCCGCCCCAGGGTGCGTCCACAGTGTGGCAGGGGTCGGTAATTCGTTCCATTACCTATATATATAAAAGCCTACGTGACTGTCTCCACCCGTCTCCACGCACTGACCACCAGGGGGCAGACGCTCAATGCAGGAGCTGCCCCTGGTGGACAGTGCGCCCCCACAGCCAACCTCCCGCAGCCCCGCCCCCCAGCCAGCCGGCCCCGATCGGCCCCCACCGCCGGCCAGGCTGAGGGACCCCACCCCTGCACTCTAGTCCTATATGATAAAGACCTAATATGCTAATTAGACCGGATGGCGGAACGACCTTCCGGAACCACCAGTGGGCGGGGCCTCGAGGCAGCCGGGCTGCGAGGGCCGAGCCCCTTGCACGGATTTCGTGCACCGGGCCTCTGGTTTTAAAATAAAAGCAGTTCTAAGTGAAGGATAATTATTTTTTAAGCACAGGTTGGGCAGCTCAGCTATTTATTGGGCACCTACTGTGTGCAGGGCCCTGTACCGTCCTTCCTCACCAAGCGGACCGTGGCTTGCCCTGTGCACCTGGCCCTCCAGGGCAGAGGCGGGGACCTGGGCACGGCCGGTAGAAGGCGGATGCTAAGAGATTACTTGTGCCCGGCCGGTGTGGCTCAGTGGTTGAGTGTTGACCTATGAACCAGGAGGTCACGGTTTGAGTCACGGTTGGGGCACATGCCCAGGTTGTGAGCTCGACCCCCAGTAGGGGGCGTGCAGGAGGCGGCTGATGTATGTATTTCTCTCATCGATGTTGCTCTTTCCCGTTGTCTCTGAAATCAATAAAAAAAAATATATTATATATATATATATAATATATATTTTTTTAAAAAGGATTTCTTGTGAGAATTGGGTGATGCATCATGGGAGGCTGGCAAGCAAGCGTGAGCTCGGCAGGGCGTGCAATGAGGAAAGGCAGGCTGGGGTCCCCCCCGGGAACAGACTGAAACCTGGGGAAGTTCCCTCCTTTTCGGGGACACCTCCCCCCTGCCCCGAAGGCCCTTCCCCGATTGCACCAGGCCCACCCAGGTTCCCCCGGCCGACCTCCCCTGCCGAAGGTCAACTGATTAGGGACCTTAATCACATCGGCTACAAAATACCTCCTCAGCGCCCCCTAGATTCGTGTTTGCAGGGGGTTGAATTGTGTCCCCCCTGTTTCCTCCCTCTCCCCCAAAAAGATATATTCAGGCCCTGACCCCTGGTACCTATGAAAGTGACATTATTATTTTTTTTTCTTTTATATGGAAAGGGCAGAAAGAGCTGACTTTTTTTTTTTAAATCCTCACCCAAGAATATTTCCCCATTATTTTTACAGAGAGTGGAAAGGAGGGGGAGAGAGAGAGAGAGAGGAACGTTGGTGTGGGAGAGACATTGGTTGCTCGCCTCCTGCATGGGATGAGCCTGCGGCCTGGGTCCGTGCGGCGATCATCATCGAGCCCGCAGTTCCATTGCTCTCGGGGTGTGCGCACGCGGGAGGGCTCGCTGGGGCGTGTTTGCACGTGACGTCGCGTGCCTGAGCCTACCAGGCGGCTGCAGGTGCATCTTCAGCCCTGCTGCAGGGGTGAGTCCTTGCAACAACCGTTTCTATGGAACACCCGCTCTCCCCGGCCCCACCTCCCCGCACGAAATGCAGAAGCGAGGACCCGGGCAGGAGGGAAAAGGCACCGGCAAACTGCCTCCTCCTGTCATTTCGTAACTGTGCCGGCCCGGGCGATTTGGGGGGCAATCCTAGCTGTTGCACTTTGCTGGGGGGGGGGGGGCGGCTCTGAAATGGGTCCCTGGGTGGGAAGGATTATTTCCCGCCACGGAGCTTGGGATCCGAGAAGCTGGATCGGAGTTGCCTGCGCCCCTTTTTTGAATATTATTTTTTATTTTATTATTTATTATTTATTATTATTATTTTTCTGTGGGGCGACCGGCGGGGCGATTGGGGGGACCCCCACTGGCACCCGCCTTGGCTGGCCTGGGGCCTGCGGGCTGGGGGAAGCTCCTGCGCTGAGCATCTGCCCCCTGGTGGTCAGTGCGTGTCATAGCAACCGGTCATTCCACTGTTCGGTCGATTTTAATGTTTTTATTTTATCAGAGAAGAAGGGAGAGGGAGAGAGAGAGAGAGAAACGGCCATGATGGGAGAGAATCAACTCGGGCATGTGCCCTTGACCGGAATCGAACCCGGGACCCTTCAGTCCGCAGGCCGGCGGTCTAGCCACTGAGCCACACCGGGCAGGGCTTTTGTTTGCCTTTTCATTCTCTTCACGGTGTCGTTTGCAGAGCCGACATTTTTAATTTTAATAAAGTTCAACATATTCAAGAATATTTCTTTTCCACGGGTCATGCATGCTTTCGGTGTTGGCGTTCATCACGTCATTGCTGGACGCAAGGTCATCCGGATTTCCTCCTCGGTTACCGTCTAGAAGTTTTATGCTTTTGCTTTTCGCATTTTTTTTTTAAAGATTAAACTTTTTTTGTTTACTGATTTGAGAGAGAGAGAGAGAGAGAGAGAGAGGAAGGAGGAAGGAGGTGGAGGAGGAGAGCGAGAAACACTGATTGTTCCACGTATTTACGCATCGTTGGCGGCTTCCTGTACGTGCCTGCAACCTTATGGGGACCACGGTCCAACCCACTGGGCCACCTGGACAGGGCTGCCTGTGTTAATGACATTTTCTTTTTTTTTAAAAAAAAATATATTTTATTGATTTTTTTTACAGAGAGGAAGGGAGAGGGATAGAGAATAAGAAACATCGATGAGAGAGGAAACATGGATCAGCTGCCTCCTGCACGCCCCCTACTGGGGATGTGCCCGCAACCCAGGTCCATGCCCTTGACCGGAATCGAACCCGGGACCCTTCAGTCCGCAGGCCGACGCTCTATCCACTGAGCCACACCGGCCAGGGCAATTCCATTTTCTGAATTTTTGTGCAGAGCGCAAATATGATCTGTGCCTGGATTTAAAAAAATGCAACGCCGATAGCATCGCTTGCAAGCAGGTCCTGCTATCCCAGCTCCGCGGGGAGCAGAAGTGATTGTTGCAAACCTGGCAACAGGGTAGCGAGCGCTCGTGGCCAGGCTGCTGCTTGGGGTTTGCATTAACCTTCACTCTTACGGGAGGAATCCAGGCCCGTTCCTCCGCCTCCCCCTTCCCCTCTTCCTGTTTCCTCCCGCCCACCGGCCTGCACCCGAGAAAAGATACAATGAAACAGGCCCCTTTGCCACCCAGGCCCCCCCCACCCCCCAACCGGTTGCATCTATAGATAAAAAGGCCAATGCAGGCCCCAGGAGGTGGGCGAGGGAGGCTGCTCTGGCCGCTGCAGCCGGACGCCCCTTAGCCCTCTCTTGCATGGCCCAGCTGTGCCCGAGTGGCCCCTTCATCCCTCGTTGAGGGGGCTGCCGGTCAGCCCCAGCAAACACCCCGAATCTGCAAGAAGACCAGGGGGGTGATTGCATGCCCCCTCTAGGGTTAGAGACCCTGCAACCCAGGCATGTGCCCTTGACCAGAATCGAACCCAGGACCCTTCAGGCTGCAGGCCGAGGCTCTACCCACTGAGCAGCACCAGCCGGGGCCCACTTGCCCACACTTGCAATGATCGCAAAGAGACCTTTAAACCGGGTTCAGTTCCGGATTTCCTAAGCAGCGAATGCCAAGCAAGCCAGGCTGGCAAGCCAAGACGGGGGCCAGGATTTTTGGTTTTATTTGTGTTTTAGCATTTTTTTTTTTTTTAATTGATTTCCAAGAGGAAGGGAGAGGGAGAGAGGATCATCATGGATCCGCTGTGTCCTGCACGCCCCCTACTGGGGATCCAGCCGGCAACCCGGGCATGTGCCCTGACCGGGAATCGAACCCCGGACCCTTCAGTCCGCAGGCCAACGCTCTAGCCTCTGGGCCAAACCGGATAGGGCGGGCAATTGGGTGTTTTTGGTTTTGTTTTGTTTTGTTTTGTTTTTTTGCTTGCGCGGCTAGTCGGCAGTGTGCGGTAGCCGAGGGCCGGTCCCGCTGTCACCTCGTTATTTACTTTCCGGACCTGAATGACCGCGCAGCGCGAAGGGAGGCGAGCCCGGCCGCCGCCGTGTGACCCGCCAGGCGGAAAAGACGCCGCGCGCCTCCCGCCGGCGGTGGGGGCAGGGAAGCACGTGCAAAGCGCGGCGGCGGTTGCATCATGAGCTCGATTGCACCCCGGGTGTCTCGGGTGCAGGTAACAGCTCGGCACCCGCCCGCCCAGGCCCCGGGGAGCCCGGGGGAGCCCGGGAGCACTGCAGGGCAGGCCCCCGGGGCGGCCCCGCCACGTCCTTTGGGGGAGGGGTGGGGGCCTGGCCAGGCCACCGGTAGATAGTAAGACCCCGTGGGTTGCGCGGACTCACAAGTATGGAGGCTGCAAGTGGGGTTTGCTATGGACGTGCATCCCCGACGTGGTGCAGTCCGGCCGCGCAGGGTCCTTCGCGGGCCCGCCTTCCGGAGGGAGGACACCCCCCCCCCCCCCGCAGAGCAACAAACGGCCCAGTGTCCCGGGAAAGAGCAGGCGAGGTGACCGGCTGCCACGCCGGGTGTGCAGGGCTCGGGGCGCGGAGCTCCGCGTGCACCCAAGCGGGGGGCGACTGATTGAAAAACACCCCCGAGGCGCAGGGGGTGGGCGCGCGCCCCCGGGTCGTGCCATCGGGGCCGCGCGCGGTGCGTGGTTGCAGGGACACTGGGGACTGGGGTGCCCAGGGCCGGGCCCCGTGAGCCATGGCAACGTGAACACTTTGGAAAAATGCCCGCGGTCTGCGGCCCGGGGGTGGGGGTGGGGGACAGGGTGGAGAGGGGGGTCCCTCCCCCATCCCCCGAGCCCCCGCACCCCGGCTCCCGGCCTCCACCCCGGTGTGTCTGAGTCTCTTTCTCCCCCAAACACTCTGGCTCTTCCCAGGGGGTGTTCTGTAAGGTCGAGGCCCCCACTGCGGGGGGGGTAGGGGGCGAGTGTTGGGGTGCCCTCCAAGCCGCCGGTTTTGAGGGCGGCGCGCCTGGGGCAGGGTGCAGGGGTTCAGTGAGGGCGGCTGGGCGCCTTCTCCTTGGAGGTGGGGGAGGGGCACCCTCCAGGACGGGCCCGGGTTCCCTTCTCCCAGGGACACCTTGGGGTGGGGGTTGGCCCGGGTCCCCCACTTCCCCCCCACCCCACGGGCAGCAGGGTAAAGGCTGCGTTGGAGACGGGGTGCGGGTGGACCAGTGTTCCCTTCCCACCTCCCTGGAGGCCTCGGGAAGGGACCGGGCTCAGAGCGGGGAGGGGGATGTCCGGTCCCCTCACCCCGCCTAGACAGGGTGGGGGCAGGGGGAGCTGGGGGTGGGGGACCGGGCCGGGGCGCAGGGTCCCTCCGGTGGCGAAGGGGCTGGGTGGGGGCGCGGGTCCCCGCCGGGGGCCGGGGGGAGGGGCGGCGCCCGGTCCCGGCGGGGGAAGGGCCGGCCCGGGGTCCCTCTGCCCCCGGGGGAGGGGCGGCGGGGGACGCGGGGCCTGGGGGCGGGGCGCCCCGCTGGCAGTCCTCCCGGCCGGGGTCGGCGCTCTGGCGGCGGCCGCTCCCCCCGGAGGTCACTGCCCGTGCCGGTCCCTCCCGCGTCCCGCCCTCCTCCGCCGCCGCCGCTCCCGCCCCGGCCCCCCGCCTCGGCGCTCGGGAGCGTGGAGCCGCCCGCGCCCCCGCCCGCCGCAGCGCCCTCGCCGCCATTCGCCACCGAAACTTTCCAGCGCGCGCGCCGCTCGGACTCGGCGGCGGGCGGGGGCGCGGGGGGGGGCGGCGGCTGCTGCGGGCGCCGGGCCCTCCTCGGCCCCGGCTCGGCCCGGCGGCTCGGCCCGCGGGGTTGGCTGGGCGCGGCGGCGCCGGCGAGCGGCCCAGCGCGCGGTGAGGTGAGTGCGCGGCCCGGCGGCGGGAGGGCGCGGGGCGGGGGGCGCAAACTTCTGGGGCGCGTGGGGCCCGGCCGGCGGCTCGGGGCGCGCGCACGCTCCGCCCGGGCGCGGAGGGCAGGTCCCGGCGGTGCCCGGGCGCAGGGGCCGGGGTGCGGCGCGCTCCCCGCGGCCTGAACAATACCCCGAGGGGGGCGCTCCCCCTGGTGCCGGCGCGGGGTGCGCGCGCGGAGCCCGGGGGGCGCCTTTGTTCGGGGAGGGGAGGCGGCCGGCCACTTCGGGGAGGCGCTCGGACCGGCCCCCCCGGCCCCTTTCGCCCGCCGCCCCCGGGGGCTCCCCCGGGGGGGAGGGGCGCCCCATTCATCCGCGGGCCCGGGACCGGGTGGCGGTCGGCGTGGGTGCCCGGCGAGGCCCCGCGCTGCCCTGCGTCCCGGGCGCTGGAACTGTCACGGAAGTCGGGAGCCCCCGGGCCGAGCGAGGGGGCCGGGCTGGGGGTGACATCGGGGGGTACCCCGTTCCGGCGCGGCCTGGGAGGCTGTAGACCTGTTGCTCGCGGGCTGGGGGAGGGGGGACCCCAGATCCGGGCCCGGTTCCCCAGGGTACTGTCCCCACCGGGGGCCAGCGTTCCGACGGGGGCACTGCGTCTTCGGGGGGTCGGCGGCCGCGGGGTCCGTGACAACTCGGGGTCGCGAGAGGCGCGCCCGCCCGCGCCGGGATGGGGCCTGGGCTTCACGTGCGCCGCCGGCCTGTGCGCAGCGGGGCGCGGCCCAGCTCGCTTCCTGCACGGCCGCGCGGTCCCCGCGCCCGAGTGCATGGCGAACCCCGCCAAGTAGGAGTCGGGGTGCGTTTCCCCCGGGGGACGTGGTGGAGCGGGCCCCCAAAGACGCGGAAAGCCGGCCCCCTGGCCTCCGCAGCTGCCTCCGCTCTGCAGGGTCACGTGGGGCTCGACCGGACTTGTGGCTGGTTTTCTCCCGTTCGCGCCGCCCAGTCCCGGCCGCGAGGGAGGCGCAGGGGCGGGACCTCGGGCCTGGGCCGGAGGGGTCAGGTCCCCAGCCTGGCTTCGGGGTGCAGACGGCTGTGATGATGGCAAAAAGTTTGCAATTAGATTTTCCTGGAAAAGACGCGATTAGGGGGGAAAAGAGAGAGGGAACGCGAGGGTGGACCCATGGAGAGGGTCCTTGGAGACGGTGCGTTCATTCTAAGGATGCGCACGTGCGCGCTGGGCGTGGGGCGGGTTTGGTGGGGACCCGGCGGGAGGAGTGGTTCAGGGGTAACGGGGGAAGCCGGTCCCTGGGCCTCCTGACTGACAGGGCCCCCCAGGGGAGAGAATTCCAGATTTTAAGTCGGCACACGCCCCTGGGGAGGCAGGAGAGTGCTGGCGTTTGCCTGGGGCGAAGGGGGTGTGTGTGCCTTTTGCCTCCTTGCTGGGCGCAGTGATTTCTGCTCCGTCAATAGTTTTAAAGAAGGAATGACAGCCCGGCCGGTGTGGCTCAGTGGTTGGGCAACGACCTATGAATCAGGAGGTGATGGTTCGATTCCCCGTCAGGGCACATGCCCGGGTTTGCGGGCTCCATCCCTGGCCCTGGTTGGGGTGGGGGAGGAGGGGTGCGGGAGGCAGCCCATCCATGTGTCTCTCTCACAGTTGATTTTTCTCTCTCTCTCTCTGTCTCTCTCTCTCCCCTTCCATGCTACTTGCTCTTTAAAAAAATCACTAGAGCCCTGGCTGGTGTGGTTCAGTGGATAGAGCGTGGGCCTGTGGACTGAAGGGTCGCAGGTTTGATTCCCGGTCGGGGCACATGCCCGGGTGCGGGCTCCACCCCCGGTGTGGGGCGTGCAGGAGGCGGCCGATCCACGATTCTCTCTCATCATGGATGTTTCTCTCTCCCTCTCCCTCTCCCTTCCTCTCTGAAATCAATTAAAAATAAATATATATATATTTTTTAAAAAGTAGGCTACATCCAAGAAGTTAAAATCTCACCGCCAAAGACACTTTAAAAATAGTTCCGAAGAGGAAGCGAGCCTACAGTCATTTTGTAAACATTTCTTCTTTTTTTCTAAGTTGGAAAGATAAACTTTTTTTCCATAACTATTTTTAGTGGGAAGGAAGCCGCCGGCCTCGGGCATGGAGGGTGGATGTGAGTGTCGCCTGGGGGCCTGCCCTCCTCGGCTGTCCCCTCCGCCCCACGCTCTCCGTGGGGATGACCAAGGGGACCGGAACTGGCCGCACTGGCCACAGTGGCTGAGGGAGACCCACCGAAACCGCAGTGGAAGCTGGCTGTGGGGACCGCCCGACAGTCATCATGGTGCAGGAGACGGGAGGGCGCAGCCTGAGAAAGGCTGAAATCCCAGGGGACCAAGCGGGGAGCCAAGAAACCCACTTTTTTTTTAAGTATTTTTTTATTGATTTCAGAGAGGATGGGCGAGGGAGAGGGAGATGGAAACATCCATGGTGAGAGAGAATCACGGATCGGCTGCCTCCCGCACGCCCCACACGGGAGAGCGAGCCCGCAACCCGGGCCTGTGCCCTGACGGGGAACCGAACCGTGACCTCCTGGCTCCTAGGTCGACGCTCAGCCACTGAGCCCCGCCGGCCGGGCTCTGGCAGCCCGTGGGGTGTTCACGGAGCAGCTCCGATGCCGCCATCCTAGCTCCTCACCGCCGTCAGATATTTTACGGAGAATCTGCTCGACTGAAGAGCGCGGCCGGGAGCTGGAAGCCGTGAGGAGTGAGTTGAGCGTTGAGACAGGACAGACGGCTTGGGTCATGCTTCCTCTGCGTTGGTTTGCTCTCGGTGGACGGGACGCAGATGGAGGTGGAAGGGACTCTTAGAAGAGGAAGGTGGAGGAGCTGGGTGTGTATCGGGGCCGTATTGCCAACGCCGAGCTCTGGGGTTTTGCCGATAACCACGGGTTCCCCTCCGGGGGCCAGTGGGAGAGCCTGAGGAGGCCACGCCTGGCTGTACAGTCGACGCACCAGGCCCGTTGGGGCGAGGTCGGTGGGGGAGGTGGGCCCCAAGAAAAACAAGTCGTGGACTGTAGCTCTTGAGGCACCGACGTGTTTTGGGGTGCAGGCAGAGTTGGGGACGCTCTCCCAGAAGGTGGGGCACAGGAGTGGGCTTGGGAGACCCACAAGGACGCAGGCCACGCCGGCTGCTCGCTGCTGAAACTCAGCACACGTGTCCTGGCGGCCCCCGGGGAGTGCCAGTGTGCCCTGCGCTGGGCCTCCTGGCCCCTGGTGGGCAGGGGCCGGGGTGACCTAGTTTGCAACCAGCATGCCAGGCCCTGACTGTGTCTTTGGGCAAATCAGTTGCCTTCTGTAGAGTTGGTTTTGTCACTGAGAGAGCAACAGAGACAAGGCAGCTGGTTTCTGAGGCTGGCGCTGAAGGAGACGGGGTTATTCCGGTGCCTGCAGCCCAGCAGGCCTGGCTTAGGATCGTCCTCCACTCTGCTCTCGGGGACTCGGGGTGGGAATGTGTCTTTATTACGTAGGGTGGTTGGTCTCCAGCCTTTACTTTCTCTTCCGTTTCTCCCCCTCTGTGAAGTGAAATTCCAGGATCGTCATCCGTGTATACACACACACGCACATACACACATGCACACATGTTCTCTCTGTTTTCCGAATTAGTGTGTAACAGATTATGGATTTCAACACGTGCATAGGTTTGTGTAATCGGAGGTTCAGTCACAGCTCAGACCTGTGCACGCTCTCCCTCCGTGGTTCCCGGATCGTCACCCTTCCCCCACCCGGACCCGGGACCGGGGACCCGGGACCCAGGACCCTGCCCGTCAGCTCTGCTGTCCTGTCCTTGGTCGTATTCAGACCCAGGCAGAAACCCCCAGGGGCGAGCCCACCACGCCTCCAGCGCCTCCCTTAAGGCTGCACCTTCACACGTGGGCACACGTGGGCCCCGGGCCCTCCTCGGCGCGATTGTGCACTGCGGACGTTAGGAAAAGCAAGGAGCAGCTATACGGGTTACTTGTAAATATTTGTAAGACGCCGGCTGTCTTGTTGGGGCTGCCAAAGGTTTGCGGTCTCCTTGGCCAGGGCCTCTCTCGCTGCCATGGGGTGAGTCTTGATGCCCTTACAGAGAACGTTCCAGAACCTTTGAAGACCTTTTTTTTTTTTTTTTTTAGTCTATTTTATTGATTTTTTACAGAGAGGAAGGGAGAGGGATAGAGAGTCAGAAACATCGATGAGAGAGAAACATCGATCAGCCGCCTCCTGCACAGCCCCCTCTGGGGACGTGCCCGCAACCCAGGCACATGCCCTTGACCGGAATCGAACCCGGGGCCCTTCAGTCCGCAGGCCGACGCTCTGTCCACTGAGCCACACCGGTCAGAGCTGAAGACCTTTAATGTGTAAAATCGACCGGCAGGTTCACGTCGTGCCTGGGCAGAGAGGTGAATAGCAGAGAGGCTGGAAACTCGAGTTGTGTTTGCATCCGCTCGTTGCAGACGGAAAGCGAGTTCCCCCGTCCGGCCGGCGTCTGGGTTGTGAGTCTGCGTTTCACTGTGGGCCGCGATCCCCGCGTTTCGGGACCCTAATGAGAAATGGCGTGTTTTCTACAAGAAGGAGTCCTTGGCCTGGTGTGTCCTCACGGCGGGGGCCGAGGCGTTTAGCTGGGGAAAGGGCTGCTACTTAAATGTCGGTTACGGGGCCTGGTGGGGCCTGGTGGGGCCCTGCCGGCGAGGCTCAGGGGTTGAGGTCCACCTAGGAACCAGGAGGTCAGGGTTCGATTCCCCGTCAGGGCACATGCCCGGGTTGTGGGCTGGATCCCCAGTGGGGGGCGTGCAGGAGGCAGCCGGTCCGTGATCCTCTCTCATCATGGACGTTTCTCTCTCTCTCTTTCTCCCTCTCCCTTTCTCTCTCAAATCAATAAAAATGTATTATTAAAAGGAGAGTCTGGGGGTTTGTTTTTTTTTAAATCCTCACCTGAGGGTATTTTCCTATTGATTTTTTAGAGAGAGGGGAAGGGAGGGAGGGAGGGAGGAGGAAAGGGCAGG